AATGTGACAGTGCCCCTGCTAAGAGGAGACTTGGGGTGGGGGAGATGGGAGGGTGGATGTAGCAGGAGGCCTCCAAAGACAGCACATATCCAGAGCCCTGGGATTCAGTGAGAATTCACTTCACTTCTTGGTCTGTAAATATCCCACCAAAAGGAGCCCATGCCTCCGTACCCTGCTCGGGAGCCCAGTGACTGCTGACAGACTGCAAGGCGCGGACCAATCAGAATATGATACGCTGACTAAAGGACCTTGGGGGCAGAGAAAAGGGAACTATAAGAGAGGGGATGAGGATGGGAGAGTCAAGGCACAGTGGGCATTGCCAAAATTACCCAGGAAAGCTGCTGGCCCCAGCAAGCTGGGCGCTGGGCCACCCAGAGATGCAAAGAAAAAAAAAAGCTTTTTCATCTATATAATATGAGAAATGGAGTGTCTTGAATTTGATGGAGTCTCTCTCCACTTCTGATGAGCTTAACTTGAGATAGGGTTCCAGAAAACTCATTGGCCACCAAAGCTGCCCCAACCTTCAGTTCTAGTCTTGAGTTGGAAGAATGAAACTCACAGACCGCGGAGGGTTTTAGGCAGAAATTTATTATAGTCATAGGTGGGCGCTTAAGAATGATAGAGAGGGTCGATAGACCACATGTATCACAGGAGCAGACCCAGGACATAGGGTGCTATCTAGCTGTAGTCTGGGAACTTCTTAAAGGATTTATGACATAAACTGGAACAGGAGGGGATGAGCTGCTCAGTCCAGTGAGCCAACCACAAAGTATCCATGTGCTCCCTCTCAATCTCAGTCTCATGTAAAGCTTCCTGGAAAAAAATAAGAGACAATAAGGAACCAGGAACCTGCACTCTCTTCTGGAATTCCTTACCTCCAGCAAGGACATTCTCAGAACTGCTGCTGTGGGGTCCCTCCCCTACCTGACCAGTTTCCATCTCCTGCTCTCATCATATAGTTTGTGTGGAATCAAAGCCTGAGCTGACCATCAGCCATTCTCTTGCTATGTGCATCTGCCTCTCCCTGGACTTCCCTTCCTAAAGCCTTCTTAGATGGACTTCTGGCTGCTTGCTTCCCCCTCTGATTTTATTCTGAAGTGTTTAAATGTATAGGTAACAAGTATGCTGGAATGTTTGGTCAGACATTCCCCATCTGTAAGACTCAGGTGCTCTTTAGAACTCGAATTCTCAAGTAACAGAAATGTGTCTCATAAAAGTTTTACTATATGCTATCAGTAATAGGTAGGAACATTAAATTTTTGCAAACATACTGCCAGTGAGCGGCATCTCAAGCCTAATTAAATTTTTAACTTCAAATGGGTTGTCATGTTCATTCGATTTCATGGCTGCTAATGCAGGAGGCTGGTTAAATGCTTTCTCTATAATTCATGCATTCATAGAATGCCTTGAAGCTCCAGTATAAACTCAGGTCAACTATAGTATCATATTTTTGTACACTATACTTCCCTGCTTAATCATTTCTAGTGGGGCAGTGAGATGGCTCAGTGGATAAAAGTGCTTGTTGTGCAAGGCTGACAACCTGAGTTTGATCCCCAGACCCCATGAATAAAAACAAAAAGCCAGATGTAGTGGTGTGTACCTGTAATTCTGGCACTTCTAAGGTGAGGTAGGAGGAAACTGAAATTTAAGGGCCACTTAGTGGAGAGTGTGTAGTACAGCAGCAAAAAGAGCCCTTACCTGCTGGGTGTGGTGGCACACACCTTAATCCCAGCACTCAGTTTGTGTGATCCAGGCTAACCCAGTCTACATAATGAGTTCCAGGCGCTCCAGTATAAACTCAGGTCAACTATAGTATCATATTTTTGTACACTATACTTCCCTGCTTAATCATTTCTAGTGGGGCAGTGAGATGGCTCAGTGGGTAAAAGTGCTTGTTGTGCAAGGCTGACAACCTGAGTTCGATCCCCAGACCCCATGAATAAAAGCAAAAAGCCAGATGTAGTGGTGTGTACCTGTAATTCTGGCACTCCTAAGGTGAGGTAGGAGGAAACTGAAACTTAAGGGCCACTTAGTGGAGAGTGTGTAGTACAGCAGCAAAAAGAGCCCTTACCTGCTGGGTGTGGTGGCACACACCTTAATCCCAGCACTCAGTTTGTGTGATCCAGGCTAACCCAGTCTACATAATGAGTTCCAGGCTAGCTGGGGCTACAGGGAGACCCAGTATCAGAGAGAGAGAGAGAGAGAGAGAGAGAGAGAGAGAAAGAGAGACCTTATCCTGTCTCAGACATGGTAGGTAGCACCCTGATTTCTGAGTTATCTTCTGAACTCCACACATGAACCATGACACAAATACCATGGCCTGAGCATGACAGCACTCCAAATACACAAACAAACGAACAAACAAACAAAATAGCTTTTGTTGGGTTTTTGCTGCCTGTCAGGTTTCAAGTTCACATTCTCATTTCACAGCCATGTGGTGCAGCTGTCACCCAAAGTGCACTTTTCAGGGCACTTAGAACATTTTGCTACGTTATGTATTTTTTAAAGATTCATTTTTATTATTTTTAGTTTTGTGCTTGTGCATGTTGATCTCTGTGTGTATATGTGCACATGAGCATAGGTGCCCATGGAGGCCAGAAGAGGATGTGGGAGCCCCTGGAGCTGGAGTTACAAGCAGTTATGAGTAGCCTGATGTGGGTTCTGGTGACCAAATTCTGCAAAAGCAGTACATTCTTTTGTGTTGTTGTTTGTTTCTTGAGACAGAGTCTCCCTGTAGCCCCAGCTGACCTGTGACACAGTATGTAGACCAGGCTGGTCTTGATCTCTGATAGAGATCCACTTGCCTCTGCCTCCTAAGTGCTGGAATTAAAGGTGTGTTCTACCACCCTACACCATCCTATGTAAGCCGCATGCCTTCTTAACTTTGGAGCCCTGTCTTCAATCCACTGCTTTTGTTTTGATATGACATTTGTCTGTGTTGCTCAGGTTAGCTTTTAATCACTGATTCTCAGTAAACTGGTAGCACTAGAACACAAATGGCCCGAGATTGAAAGTGTGTGATACTGTACCTGGCTTAAGTATTTTCTGCATATAATGTCTCACCTATATGAGGTTTCTAATGTAGAGGGAGGCCTGAATTCTGTTGCTAAGTTTTCCTATGCTCATTAATTTCATAGGGTCTCTCACCTGTATGAATTTTCAGATGTGAACGTGTGGTGCTTTGTGTTAGAAACTTTGCTACATTCTTGAAATTCACAAATTCCTTACCTACACAATGTATGTATACTCTGATGTCAACTGGAGTGTGAGAAAGCTCTCTTCCATTGCTTAAACTTTCATCACATTTGATTTCTCTTACATAGGAAGAGCATTACAGTACAAAGTTTAACCACATTCATCACAGACATCTCACATCCATATAGGTTCACTGGTGTTTAGTAAGGTCAAACAGAAGAATGTTTTCAGACATTCTATATGTTCATGGGCATCTCACCTGTATGAGTTCTCTCTTCTATAGTGAATTGTGACTTGAAGTAGAAAGAGTTCTTATAGTGTGTATATTCATATGGCTTCTCACCTAGCCTGATGCCTTGGGATCTGTAATTTGCTTAACTATTCTGAATTCTTTCAAGTCATGTGTCAATTCTTGGATGTGCAGTAAAATTTGACTTGCAGTAGATAATAGGTCCCTTATTCGTTACATTTGTAGAGCCTGTCACATGTATGAGATCCTTATGTTGAAAGGGGTGCTGCCTGAGAGAAAGATTTCTAGAATTCTATACATTCATAGGTCCTGTCCCATGTGTGAGATCTCTGGTATGCAACCACATGGAAAGATAAAATAAATACCTTTTGTCCTAAATATTTATGTTGAAAAACATATATAAAACTTACTTGTGTAGGACACAGAAAACGCCTTTTGTAAATAGTTTTTGACTAAATGAGTGGACATGTGCAAAGTGGAATAGCCGTTAGAGAAATGGTTGAGACAGGTAGGTTTAAACACAAAAGGCAGAGGGCAGAAATGGAGAACAAGTCAGGAGGGGAAGGGCATGTTTAGAAAGAGAGCCAACAGTGAGGGGGGAAGCCAGAGTCTAAGGTGGGGGCGCAGGGTGGTTTACTGTCATCCTCCTTAAACCTCTAATAACTGTAGTGAAGGAATCAGTGTGATTGGTTGGTTAGTTCTATTGACTTTACAGTCACTGAGAAACAGTACTTTGGTAAAATTCAGTAACAGTGAAAGTCCAGAAAAATGATCGTGTAATTTTGTTTCTTTTTTTACTTTTTTGGGATACCTTTTGCTGTATAGCCTGGACTGGCTTTGAACTCATGGGGCCCCTCTTGTCTGAGCCCTCCAAATACTGAGATTATAGGCATGTGCTACCAAGCTTAATTGATCATGTGATATTAAGGTTTATACATTTTCTGCTACATTTTTTTTGTTTGTTTTCATTCTGCTGATACAGCTTTCTAGAACCGTTTTAAAAACCATTCACTGAGGGCCACCAGGAGGCAGAACACACTGAATGACTCCTATTTAGGAAATTATCAGAGGAGTCATCAGAGGTGCACTGATCTTGAAGGTTTGGTGTAGGCCTTTGCCATTACAGGAATTTCAAGCTTTTATGCCATCAAAATTGAGAGCAGTTTGTGAAGGCTGCTATTGGTTATGTTTTTGTCTTTGTGTAGTAGACTAACTTGTTTAAACTGTTGTGTTAAATACATGTTTGATAAACTTAAAAAGTTATGTTGACTTAGCAGTTATTGATTAGTGGCACATGAGTTTCTCTATATTTTGGATTAAGAACCAAGTTTTGGAAACTTTGGTTTGGTTGCTTTAAAGGAACACTTCCCGCCAGAGATTTGTCCTTTTCCCTTCATCTATCAAGTGGGTTGGTTGTATATTACAACAGCTTTCTAAGGAGACCAGAACGGATCTGTGAGCCCCCCCACCGCCCCCCTTCGCTGTTCTTGCGTTTATTGTACCAGATTTCAAGATGCTCCGAGTACAGCGGCCGAGGCTGGGCAATCTGAGAGCCAGCCTCTCCAGAAGTCTCCACCGTAAGCCGGTGATGGCACTCCGGCGCGAGGATGTGAACGCCTGGGAGCGGAGGGCACCTCTGGCTCCCAGGCACATCAAAGGCATCACCAATCTGGGATACAAGGTCTTGATACAGCCTTCCAATCGACGGGCCATCCACGACAAGGTGAATCAGGGGCATAATATTTTGGAATATGTGAAGTTCTTGTCCTTTAACAATTTTTCAACTGACTATGTTAGCATCGGTTAAGAATCTTTGGCTCCATGAGTTTGAACATGGAGGCTTGCTTGCAAAGCTGTGCTTTTGTGATGTGTCATTCTCCAGTATATCTACTTTCCTTTATGTCTTCTCTTTTGACTTTTGACTATTATTTAGAAGCGTGAAACTCTTCCATTCAGTCTAATCTTTAGAGTATACTAACTATCCCAAATTTGGTTATGGAGAGTTCCTTCAAGGAGGTTCTTGTATTTTTTGGACAATGATTGATTTCATTTCTTTGAACTGTCTCTTTTCATTGGGTAACATATTACTTTAGTTCCACCTGGTGCTTTTCCTGCCTTGTACCTGGAATTAGCTACTTCAGCAAGAATCTTTGATATTTTAAGTATATAGAAAAGAAGATCCAGCATCTGGTATAAGATGAATGCAGCTGGTATTAGACAAGTATATTGTTACTGAGATACGATTGTATACTCAGGCCCTTTCAGAGGACAGAGTTTAGAAACAAATAGAAATGCAAGTGTGCATTTGCACACACACAGTAATACTCATGAGCTAATAATGTTCCAAAATAAAAGTTAATATTGCAGGGTATCTTTACCTTAAAAAATTTGTATTTGCTTGTATTTCCTCCAATAATAAAAACATCTTAATTCTTCATGACTTTAAAGCACAATATTTTTATTGTAACCTATCATATAGAAAAAGTAATTTCAGAATCACAATACTATTATTGAAATTAACAACTCATTAAATGGGTTTTATTCTACCTTTATTCTTATAAGGAATATTCTGAATGTTGTTTGAAGTTCTTTCCTCTGTGATTAAATTATCAATGTGATATAAATGTATATTTATACATTACTATTATTTTTATTCAGTTGTAATTCTTGATAACTTCTATGAATTTATTTTTCATACAAGATAACTTCTATGAATTTAATTTTCAAATAGCTGTAATATTTATAAATTTTAGAGATTAGGTCCTGCCTTCATTCAGTCTGATCTCCTGTGTTTTATTTCCATGTATCTCAAAACTTTCTTTAGTTTCCGATCTGTCATTTCTATGTTTCTTTTGTAAAAATAAGTATCAGTGTTTCTCTTTTGATGTGTGTATGTTCTTATTTCCCACTAGTTGATATATAGATACATTATACATATTGTTTTATACCTGTGTATATATGTATCTGAGTGTATAGAAGATATAATATCCATATATATGCTCTTTTATGACTTTTTGGGCAACAACATATCTTTGATTTTGCTCTCAGTTTCAGTCTATTAATGACTGTATGATAAATGCTGCATTGTGTGAAGTTAGTATAATTTATGTAACTAGTCTACTATAAATAGACTTTTTCTCTCTCTCATATGTATACATATATGTATGTATATTGTAAGGTATCTATATCTATGCTAGGTATATTTAGCCTGAAACTTGCTAGGTAGCCAGTGATGACTTTGAACTTCTGATCCTCCTGTCTCCATTTGTGATCAAATTATAATATGCCCTTAAGTATGAATAGAAAGTGGATTTTCCATTTTTCCCCATAAAAGTCAAACAGGATAGATTTATCTTCAGCCAGAAAGTATAAACATTAAGTTGACTATTTTAATATTTGTTCTAAATCCAACAAATTTTATTCCTTTGAAAGGTTGTACCTTTATTTGTTTTACATTTATTAGAGCAACCACGAACACTATAAATTTGGGGAATAACCATTCGTCAAAATTGCATTCCCAGGAATATGTCAAAGCTGGTGGCATTCTTCAAGAAGATATTTCAGAAGCTTGTCTAATTTTGGGAGTAAAAAGGCCTCCAGAGGAAAAACTAATGTCCAAGAAGACGTATGCATTCTTCTCCCACACAATAAAAGCTCAGGAAGCCAATATGAGCTTGTTGGATGAGGTCCTGAAACAGGTAATTATGACCAATATTTGTATTAATCCAGAAACATATATATATATATATATATATATATGTTTGACTTATAAGTTTTCTTTCAGCATTTATCAGTAGGTCCTGTCACTCACTTCAGTAGGAGAGGTAGTAATATGAGTGGGTGCCCAAATAGTTCTACTGAAGAGTTGAACTATGCTGCTCTGGTTTGGAGTCTATAATAAGAGAAAATTATATCTCATTATTTTATATATTCTGAAATAGAATGAAAAAAAGATTTTCCTCAGGTAGGTATCAATTTATAAAGTCAATGGCATGGATCTATCAAAGAGAATTTCAGAACTGGAAAGAGACTCAGAGATATGTACTCTAACACCATATTTTTTGCATGAGGCTCAGGGAGGCAAAGTAACTTAAGGAGCTTGCATGGATCTATAACACTAGACTTGAACTGGAGACACATTGACATTTAATAGTATCCACAAAGGGAAAAATATTTTTTTTGTGTTGTAAATACTGTGGAAACATTAGCAGCTCCTTGAAGTTTGAATGTTCAGTGACCAAATTTTTACTGAGTGCTCACTCAGTAAATAGTGACACCATTCATTGCAATTAAAATGGAGACTAGTAACTATCCCTGTATTTCTGGAGCTGTTCACAGTGAGGGAGACAGAGGATAAGTAATCAAGGCACCTTATGTCACCAGGCAATATGCAGAATAGAGATAAATATAGTACTGAAGGAGAAAGGAGTGTGGCACTTGGGAGGTGACAATGCAAGGGTACATAGGACCTCATTCTGAAGATGCATTTGAGCAGATATTTGAAGGAGATGAAGGATCAAGCTATGTCTGGCTGTGAAGAGTTTTCCAAGTAGACAGACCAGTGAAGGCAAAGACCTAAGGGCTGTTGTGAATGAGTGGTAGAGTAGGTCATGTTCTGAGATGCATGTTCTGCCTGTAGTCTAACAGTTGGAGGTGGGAGGAGGAAGTAAAATTGATCAGAAGACTTTTAGGCTAGGACAGTCCAGACTCTAGGCCACAGAGGAGAGCGACTGTACTTGGGTGGTGGAGGTGGATGCTGTGACAATTGGGGAATCCTGGAGGCATTTTAGAGGTGAATCCTTCAACATTCACTGTTAACAAGAAGGTAGACTTTGAGAGAAGTCAACAGTGACTAAGGTTTGGGCCTTGGCAACTGGAAAGAGCTGTTGTAGACTGAGAAAGTGCTGCTGTGAAAAAGCAGGCTTGGGTGGGAAGGCTCAGAGCTGAGGATAAGACTTGTCAGAAATGTGCCATCTGGCAATTAGCAGAGAAGCTGGAGGTGTATTGGGTCTGATTCTGTAGCCTAGAACACCTCCTCTTGATGTACATTTGGTCATTGTGAGAGACCAGGTTTCTACAGTCAGGAGACTAAAGAGTGTGGGCAGTGAGTAGAGATGCCAAGGTCTGTGGCTAGAGCGAGGATAACATTGAGTAGGATCTGAGAACAGAGCAGGTATTGCAGCATTCATCAATGGCACCAGAAACGGAAGAAATAGATTTTATATAAGGGAATGGAATATGTTCCTATTAATTTCAAATCTACCTGGGTAGCAGTTAATTTGTTTCTGAAGAGCAGATTCAAAGGTAATTAATGAAAATCATACTGGGAAAACATTCTATCTGAAGCAAAGAAACTCTCTAAGAAGTGCTTTAGAGACTTTTTTTGTTATATGAACTTTTGACCATTATTAGAAAATTAATAAAAGCAGACTCAGCGGGACTGATTTTTGGCAGAACTCTAACAAGTTACTCATAGTTGGATGTACGTTAAATGTTCTTAAATTTGTAAACATGATTTAAAAGTTACACGATTTTCTTTCCCAGGGCTGGGGATGCAACACAGGGCCTTGTGCGTGCTAGGCAAGTGTAGGCTAGCTACAAATCCCAGCCTCTATATCATATGATTTTCAAAGAAATAAAATGACTGCTGAAAATATTCTATAATTATGGTATAGCTAATAGGACTGTTCTGACGGCAGAAAGGTATGTGAAGAGAGAAAAAGAATGTGTTTTGGGCAAAGAAATGTAAGAATGGAGAGAAAAAGGTAAGAGGAAGCAGGGAGAAAGGGAGGAGAAAGGAAGAGAATCTTGGGATAGTGTTACTATTTTTAGATGACTGAGGAACGATGTAAAGGAAGGTGATGCAGGAAGGAGGTAAGAGTTCAAGAAGACAGTTTGTGGAGGACATAGAATGAGTCAAGATTTGCAGACAGGGATTCATCTCAGGAAAGATCTATTCTTTGGGACCAGAAAGAACACTGTGGATAAGGGTACAGGTATGTCTCAGATGGTACTGGGCAGGCTGGGGGCAATGTCAAAATGCTAAAGGGAACATTTTTGCCTTGATTAATTTGTTGTCTCGCATCAAGGAGTGTTTAGCACATGGGACTATTCTTTTAGTTCTAATTACAGCTGGTTTGTGAGCAAGCATTTTCAAAACGTTTAATGGTACACCTGCTGGTAACTTTAGTCAACATGCATTTGCTAAAAGGAAAAAAATGTAAAATTCTTGTTTACATACGTGGTTTACTTGTTGAAGTTGAACCTAATGGACCTGGTTGAGATACTTTCCTCTTCTCAATTTCTTCAGGAAATCCGACTTATTGATTATGAGAAAATGGTGGATCACAGAGGGTTTCGCATAGTGGCATTTGGACAGTGGGCAGGTGTGGCAGGTAGGTTGCCAGGGTTCTAGTGACTATCTAAGCGTATCTGAAGAGTACCCAGGATGTTTTCCCTTCATATTTATTTCCACTGATAAAACAAAAATGGGAGTGTGCTGGTTTGACAAATATCAGAGGAATACAGAGAGAAGATAAATCATAAAATAAATTTTAGAACAAACTTTGAAAAGAAAAGGAAAGTAGGCAGAAGATTAGCACATAGAGAGGCACATAGGAACTCTTTGAATGCCCCTGGTTAGAGAGCTAGGAGCAGAGATACATTTGGTGACAAGACACCGTAAGCAGAAAATACAGAAAGAGAAAGGAGAAAGGAGCTTGCTAGAAGGGTCAAGAGCTAGAGTCTGGAGACTATCTCTGCTCTTGACTTTCATCCCAGCTAGTAGATTGAACTTTCTTTATGTGAGAAACACAAAATGTCATAGCTTGGTTTTTCACCGAATTTTCCCCTGAGAGGGCACAGTTCTAACTAAACCATCACAATGTTTCTCTTAAGTTACAGTTTGGGAATAAGAAAGAATGTTTATTTGGGCTTGCCAACAAAGTTTAGAAGGTCGCTTACAAAGACATGATCTCTGGTGGGCTCTGCCTCTCTGATATTTGGAAGCCAAGCCATCAGCTTGAGTCCCCACTTGCAGTACCCCCTTCCAAAATGGCAACAACCCCTCCCTTTTTTTTTTCCAGTGCTCAGTTTTTCTTCTCTGGGAGGTTCAGTTCTCGTTTCCTCGGAGGACATGCCCACTCAACACTGGGTTTCAGAACAGACTCTTTGAAAGTCCAATAACGAAGGTCATGAACAACTAAGCATTACTTGTTTAGCTTTGTTATATACAAGGATTCCTCACTGTGAGTTTTTGTCATTGCTGTTTTACTTTGGCTAGTCTGCCTTTACCTCCTTATGATCAAATTGAATTTGTCAAAAAAAAAAAATCTCTAGTAGCACATTACTGAGTTGTGCAAAAGATAAGATTGCTTGGCATTCTAGGGTAGTTTTGCGAAAGATATTCATCATTTACTCAAAAATTTCTCACTCAAATATGTTGGAAAAATTGCATATGTAAGTAAATAATTAGAGAAAAATCCATTAATTTTGAACTATTAATATGCCCTAATTTGCCTACTTTTAAAATAATAGAAAGGAAAAAAAATATAAGCAGAATTATGAAACATAAAATTCTTTTCACTTAAACCCCATTTTTTATTTCCTATTTGAACCCGCACTTCATACCTTTTCTCACTCAACATAAATCTCTTCCATCGTAACAGGAAATTAAGTTTCTTAATAGGGAACAATGGGGTAAACCCAGTTGAATACCATTCCCAGACCTTTTGGGACTCACACAGATGAGAGTTTTGTTCATCTGGAGAGAATGAATCATGAGAAATACACTGAGTAACTCAGAAGTCAGCACATTCAGAAGTAGCTCCACACCTATGAATGGGGCATGGTTCTTATTCTTAAGGAGCCAAGTAGGCAAGAAAACACAAAAGTGCAGTGTCCATGCTGGCTGCCAGAGGAAAGGTGGTCAGCTAGAGTAGCTGTTGGAGGAGTGTCCTCAAAACTGTGAAGCTTCGGCTTGATGAGGATTAAAACTGTTCCAGCAAGTGAGGACGAGGGGAGGGAAATTTTCTAAGTCCTGCTATCAGTATACTGGATAAACATCTAGGTAGGCTCACAAAAAGGGAGATGACTGTATTTAGTGATAAGGAATACAAGAGAGGACCTTGTAATCTGTATTACAAATAAGAAAAGTACAGAGAAATACCAAGAATAATCCAGTGAGCTTGACAAACTTGGTGAACTAGACAAATCACTGAAAGACACAAATTGCCAAAACAACTGCAAGATAAGATTAAATGTCAGTACACAAAATATATTCTACTCCTAAGTGTTCACCAAGAAAAATAAAATGTTTTGTAAAAGGAATTTAGTATTGGCTGTGGTAATCTGTACTGTGTTACTCTGTAACTCAGAAGGTTGAGGCAGGAGAATCATTGTGAATATGAGGCCAACATGGGCTAGATAATGAGACCCTGTCTCAAAAAGAGGTTTTCACAACAATTCATAACAGTCTGCAAACAACACAAATGTCCATAGGAGAGAAATGGCTACAAATAGAGTGTGAGATAACCATAAGACGGCAAAATTGTGAGCAACAAAAAGAAAAAAAAGTATTGATGTGAATCTCTAAAATGCACAGGATGAAATGAGACAAACGAAAGATTGTGTGCTTATAATTTCAATTACATGAAACAAAAGAACCTAACTTATACAGACAGTCATAAAGTAATTCTGGTCTAGGATATGTGATAACATGGGCACAACTATTCGTTAATATGCCCACATCCCAAATGGTGCCATCCCATAATCCCCCTCCTCTTTTTTTTTTTTTCAAACTAGCTAGGTATTATTTACCTCTTGCATTGTCTAACCCTTCCACCATGGTTTCCCCATATAAAGTGCCCCATTTTTCCCATTTCTCCCTTATTAATACCCTTCTCCTTATGGTCCCACCTCTCGAGCTCCTTCTTTCGCTTTATCCCCAAAGTTCCTTGCATAACCCTCCCTCCCTCTTCCCTTAAAATAACCCTATTTTATCCATATCTCCCTTATTAACACATTTCCTACTCTTCTTCTTTCAGATTCTTTCTTTTCCTTTACCTCCCTGGTTCCTTTTCATTAATCCTGGTTCCTGTAGTTATGTCTGGATGCAAACTCACTTATCAGGATTTGGTGCTAGGATCCACATATGAGGGAGAACATATGTCGTTTTTTTGTTTTGTTTTGTTTTTTTCCTGAGTCTGTGTTACTTCACTTAGTATAACAGTTTCTAGTTCCATCCATTTACCTGAAAATGTCATGATTTCATCTTTCTTTACTGCTGAGTAAAATTCCATCATATAAATGAACCACATTTTCATTATCCACTCAACAATTGAGGGACACTTAGGTTGTTTCTATCTCTTAGCTATTGTGAAGTTCTTTAGGTATATGCCAAGGAGTGGTATAACTGGGTCAAATGATAGGCTCATTTGTAGTTTTTTAAGAGTTCTCCATACTTCTTTCCATAGGGGTTGAACAAGTTTGCAGTCCCACCAGCAGCAGATGAGTGTTCCCCTTTCTCTGTGTTTTATGACTCTATTGTGTGTCATTTTCAGCAATAGAGTCTTACCTTCAGGTTCTGGAGGGTAATCAAGAGCAGTTACTCCTAATGACTTGTTGGTAGTCTCATAGATTAGTGCATGTCTCAAACTTTATCAGAGATGCTTCTTGCAATAGAAGACAATTAACAAAGAGACAAGAAACTGGTCAACATACAGAAATAAAAGACTGCAAAGTGTTCAACCATAAATGGGATCTCTATATCAATCCCTTGGCCCCCAAGGCTGAGGAATCACTGTGGAAGAGGGGGTGGAAAGAGTGTATGGGCCAGAAGTGGTAGAAGACTACAAAGAAATAGTATTTTGCTGACAGCAGGGCAGTTGCTCATGTGAACTCGCAGCAATTGTGACAGCATGCACAAGATCTGCTCAAGCTCAAGCCAGACAAAATCTCAGCATGGATGGGGAAGTGATCAGAAAGGCCCACCCATAGCTGAGGTTCTATTGGCAATTGATAGCTTCTGGGAGAGGGAGAATCAATTTTCTTTAAGGCATGGCCCCTAGCAGGTCAACCATATTCCAGGTCAGGTTCCACACCTGAGTATTTGGGCATCCAAAATTGAATTTGAGGGGAAAAAAAAGAAACACATGAAGTTGGGTGAGTAGGGAAGTGGAGGCAGATATGGGAGGAGATGAAAATTAATTGTATGAAATTCTGAAAATATTAATAAAAGTATTAAAACAAAACAAATAAAATGTAAGTCATCAAACTGTACCTTTTGAATTGCCTTTTATGGCATATAAATAATTTATTTTAAAGTTGACTTCAATAAAAAGATACAAGGAAGCTTATAGAAATGTGGGGATGGGGAGAGGCATGGAAAGTTCTATCCCCAAACAAAGGAAGAATAGATATGGAGGTCATTGCTCCAGGCATAAGTTTTAGATTTTTGAAGGCCATCCCACTTAAGGCATAGAAAAGATGATTGACTACATTCTGAAATCAAAAGAAAAATCCATACTGAAAGTAGAGACTTATGTCATCTGTATACAGATAATACTTAAATTTAAGACTGGATGAGATTGCCTAAGAAGAAATTAAGATGTGAAGAGACTAGAACCCCAAATAGAATCCTGAGTGTGATTAACATAAATGGAATGCACATAGAGAGAGGTACTTACAGAAAGGTAGGATTAATTCTGGGTTTAGATATGATTGTATATGCCTATAATCCTAGTACTTGAGGCAAAGGGAGAAAGGATTTTGGAATTTGAGGCTAGCCTGCATTAAATAGTGAATTTAAGGGCAGTCTACACTATATAAGGAGACAGGAAGGAAAGAAGGAAGGAATAGAAGGAGGGGTAAAAGTAGGGAAGGAGGAGGGAGGGATGTAGAAGGAAAAATTCAAGTCAGGGATGTTGATGGAAGAGATTGTCTCACCCAAGAGACAGTCTATATTGCCAAATAGCTCTGACAAATACATCAAAACCTGAAAGCATCCACATGGTTTAGTGACGTAGGTCACTAAATCACTGGAAAGAGCCCTAGGGTCAATGGTAATTTTGTTTTTGTTTGTTTACTTGCTTTTGGTATGGGAGGGATGGGAATACATTTAAAAATTGATAAAAATGAACCCATAGAGAGGAGCCATGAAGAGATCAATTAAGGAAGGAATCCCTTCTTTGAAGGGTGAGAAGGGATGAGATCTGTAGGTGAGGTGGAGATTAACTGTTGAGAAGAAGAGGGGTCTCCTTCTATCCTATCAGGGCCAATAGAAAAAAATAGGTGAGGATGCATCTGGGTTAGGACATTTGATGGTTGAAACTAAATGGCATTGTAAGATGTCTTGAGGCCCTTCTGAATCTGAGATACTATGGTCTGTGTTTCCTTAGGACACCAAGCCAGTTGAAAAAGGACAAAGAAAAAAAATTTTTTTCTCTCTCAATAAATGTCTTTGAACAGAATTTTTTGTGTATTGTTATTCAACTCCACTTAATTAATGGTCTTTCTGTTGGTCTGGTTCTGTGATAGGGATGATCAACATTCTACATGGAATGGGTTTAAGGCTCCTTGCTTTGGGACATCACACACCTTTTATGGTAAGAGAATTTTCTTTTGTTTATTTTTTGGAAACACACATCACACTTTCGGCATAGAAATATATCTGATCAGCCAGGACTGACGTGACTTTTGTGTGCTTGCTTTCAGCATCTTGGCATGGCTCACAACTATAGGAATAGCAGTCAGGCTGTGCAAGCTGTTCGTGATGCTGGCTATGAAATATCTCTGGGTTTAATGCCAAAGTCAATAGGACCCTTAACATTTGTATTCACGGGGACTGGTAATGTATCAAAGGTAAATTTCACCTGTCCTCTCAGTAAAGCAGTCTGAAACTCTGAACATGTAGGCATTTGTGGACATTTCAAAGAGATGAACACATTTTATTTGGGGTATTTCTGTTACCTACACATTTTTCTTATGACAAAGAGCAGTAACAGTCTAAATGTATTCTTTGCATTTAGTTGATTTTATCTATTAGAGGCTTGACATCTCCCTCCCTCCCTCCCTCCCTCCCACCCAAGAGACAGTCTATATTGCCAAATAGCTCTGACAAATACATCAAAACCTGAAAGCATCCACATGGTTTAGTGACGTAGGTCACTAAATCACTGGAAAGAGCCCTAGGGTCAATGGTAATTTTGTTTTTGTTTGTTTACTTGCTTTTGGTATGGGAGGGATGGGAATACATTTAAAAATTGATAAAAATGAACCCATAGAGAGGAGCCATGAAGAGATCAATTAAGGAAGGAATCCCTTCTTTGAAGGGTGAGAAGGGATGAGATCTGTAGGTGAGGTGGAGATTAACTGTTGAGAAGAAGAGGGGTCTCCTTCTATCCTATCAGGGCCAATAGAAAAAAATAGGTGAGGATGCATCTGGGTTAGGACATTTGATGGTTGAAACTAAATGGCATTGTAAGATGTCTTGAGGCCCTTCTGAATCTGAGATACTATGGTCTGTGTTTCCTTAGGACACCAAGCCAGTTGAAAAAGGACAAAGAAAAAAAATTTTTTTCTCTCTCAATAAATGTCTTTGAACAGAATTTTTTGTGTATTGTTATTCAACTCCACTTAATTAATGGTCTTTCTGTTGGTCTGGTTCTGTGATAGGGATGATCAACATTCTACATGGAATGGGTTTAAGGCTCCTTGCTTTGGGACATCACACACCTTTTATGGTAAGAGAATTTTCTTTTGTTTATTTTTTGGAAACACACATCATACTTTCGGCATAGAAATATATCTGATCAGCCAGGACTGACGTGACTTTTGTGTGCTTGCTTTCAGCATCTTGGCATGGCTCACAACTATAGGAATAGCAGTCAGGCTGTGCAAGCTGTTCGTGATGCTGGCTATGAAATATCTCTGGGTTTAATGCCAAAGTCAATAGGACCCTTAACATTTGTATTCACGGGGACTGGTAATGTATCAAAGGTAAATTTCACCTGTCCTCTCAGTAAAGCAGTCTGAAACTCTGAACATGTAGGCATTTGTGGACATTTCAAAGAGATGAACACATTTTATTTGGGGTATTTCTGTTACCTACACATTTTTCTTATGACAAAGAGCAGTAACAGTCTAAATGTATTCTTTGCATTTAGTTGATTTTATCTATTAGAGGCTTGACATCTCCCTCCCTCCCTTTTATTTTGGCTCACTGTCTAACTCATGTAGCTATTCTTGTCTTTTTAACTACACCCCAGTGACTAACTCATTCATTGTTAATGATAAAAAGTGCTATTCTTAGTATGATCTATTTTTCTACGTAACTGTTTAGAATTTTGCTAGTAAGAAAGTAAGAAAGATTAATACAAAACTAGAATCTACGCTTCCTTTCAGAGTGATTTTGAGACTGCATATATAATCTTGAGAAACAAAATTGAAAAGTAGGTCTGTAATGAAGATAGTTTACAAACTGAGCATATCTGTTAGTGTTATATTATGAGGTAATATTTCTTCTGTAGGAAACATAATTTTCCTATTTGAAATGACTTCTGCAATGGATCAGAAATAAAAACAAATAGATGCACCGCATTCCACCCAGATTTTTAAACTGTTGTTTCTATTCGAACAAGTTTTTTTTTTTTTTAAGACAGTCCCTTTTAAAAATGCATGCATTTCCAACTGAAGGCAAAGATGGTTTGCGGGCTACCAGTAAGACACCCATCTGTTCTTCTGTGCTGCAGTTCTAGTAACAGGCAGGGCAAGTGGAGCCATGTAGTTGTGAGTCCACGCATGAATCATGTTGGCTGCTGCCCTATTCAATTTTGATTTTTCTTGTGCATTATGTATAGGGAGCCCAAGAAGTCTTTAATGAACTACCCTGTGAGTATGTGGAGCCCCATGAATTAAAAGAAGTTTCCAAAACTGGAGGTAAGGGATGGTGGACGATGCCTTTTATTGTTTCATTAGTCTTTGTGCTAGTATTTTATCCCCATAAATCATTCTCATTTGTCACTTACTTTACTTATTTCTCCTTTCTTTGCAAGACCTCAGGAAAGTGTACGGGACAGTGTTAAGTCGCCATCATCATCTTGTCAGGAAAACAGATGGTGTGTATGATCCTGTAGAATATGAGAAATATCCCGAGCGCTACATAAGTCGTTTTAATACTGATGTGAGTATCTACTCGTCTTTTATTTGGTTGCTATGATACATCATAGGTTGCTTTTTGAGAGAAAAATATAAATGCACCCCTTGATTCTTCAGGTCCTCATATTGACTGTGAGTCCTTTGGTTCTCATGCGTGGGTTTTAGGAGTTGGCTCTCACTGGTGCTTGGAGTGGCATTTGTTTAGTGGTTTGGGGGCCTCTGTGGGCATGCTCTTAGCTTTACTGTCTCTCTATTTCAAGCCTGCATGTGTTCAGAAGCTTTAATTCATTCCCTATGGATTCCTGTTTTGTGTATTAGCCTGGACTAATTAGAGCTGCTGGCAAAATGTAATGTCTGTGAAGCTTGAGCTTAAGGTAGATTTGACCTTTCTATATTTTTTGTTAGGATTGAACCTAGTGCCCCTTACAAGCGCAGCAGTTATTGTACCACTGAGCTTCATATCATAGGTGTGTTCTTCCTGTGGCCACAGATTGTAATCATAAACTCTGCTGCTTCTTAGCTGACTTTTTATTTACTAAAAGACCCAAAGCAGACTAACTTTATAAAGAAAACAGATTTATTTAGTTTAGCGTTTTGCGTGCCTGGTGTACAAAGCTTACTTCAGGCTCTTTCACAGAACTGCATCACGTCATGGTGAAAGTACTTGTGTATTTTTGCCATGTTGTCTCTTTCCCTTTTCTCATTAATCTTTCATGAGGATTTAATCATGGAGATTTTGCTCTGACTAACTCAGCCATTAAATAATTCAAGTTCCAAAGTCTCCTCTGAGACTCAAGGCTAATAACTTCTTCAGCCATAAACCCTATGAAATGAAAAACAGGTTGCATACTTTTAAGATACAGTGACAGGTCAGCCTGAGGGCATGTATGCATGCATTCCATTCCTGAAGGCAAGAACAGGCATGCAGAAAGGAGTAACTGGCCCAAAGCAAACAAGAGCAAAGCACACCAGGGCAGACTTCAACTCTGAGAGCACCAAATCAAGTGTCTTTTGCACAGTGGGCCAGATGTTGATCTTTTCCCCGGGCTGTGGGCAGCTCTACCCCTACATATTTTTTAGGTTGTGCAGCTGCTGTCATAGGTTAGGCTTTCCCTGCCTAGGAAGCATGTTGCCTAATATTTTCCTCAGGTTTTTCTGGTTGCTTACTCTTCTGGAGGCCCTTCTCTGACTTGACTCCCATGGCTCCACTAAGCATCAGTTCATTTAGAGTGCCTTGTAGAGATTTCAACTCTTCAGGAAACTTTTGCTGGACTTCCCAGGCTATCTTTGGAAAATCTTGGCAGAAACGACTATCACCCTATAATATTCCACTTAAAATACTCTAGATTTTTCCTTTCTTCTTCCTTTCCCCTTCTATCCCTCCCTCCATTCTTTTTCCCTCTTTTTCTTTGCATTCTTCCAGTGTAGTGTCTCTCTCTCTCTCTCTCTCTCTCTCTCTCTCTCTCTCTCTCTGCAGGATCTTTCTATATAGCGTAGGTTTGCCATGCTGGCCTCACACTTAAAGTCTCTGTCTCTACCTCTCAAATACTGGGATGGTGAGCATGTGCCACCATCATGGCTGGCTGTAACTCCTTCTTGTATTTTTGTTTTTGTTTTGCTTATGGTGATAGAGATAGAAACTACAACTTTGGGCATGATAGGCAAGCACCCTACCACTGAGTGCCATCCCCAGACTGTTCTGGGATTTTTTTGCTAGCCTATTCTGACTCTTCCAACTTCTGTCAGTTAATCAGTTCTAAAGCTCCCTAAACATTTCAGGTGTAGTTATAATAACAATTACTACTCCCAGCATCAACATTTTTTTAGTCAGCTTTGCATTATTACAACAAAATACCTGAAGCACCTTTATAGAAAGAAAAGATTTATTTACACTCACAGTTCTGGAAGAGGTGTAAATCTAAGATCAGGCAACTCCATTGCTCCGATTTCTGGTGAGTGTTGGGAGTAGGAATGGTGGGATCATTTTTGGTTGGGCATCTCAAATTGGAAGAGATAATATCTCACATGGAAAGGGAGAGTGATAGAGAAGAGACTAGTCTCCTAATATCCCTTTGGTGGACAAATCTCCAAAGACCCAAAGACTTCCCACCAGGGTCCAACTTACAGACCTTTGGAGACACTCACCATTCATATTATAGCAGCCAGACATCTCTAAATGCTTGGCTGGGTGAAATGGTTTGCCTATATAAGCAGTAGACCTCTTTCTGGTGCCCCAAAATGTGACTTACAAATCAAGTGGCTCCATTTTCTAAGAAATACAATTTATTGATGATGGTTTCGGTAGTCATTAACCATGTATTAATCATCCTAAAAATAATGTCTTGAGGAACAAGCAAACCATAAAGCAAACATAACCCAAAATACATGCACTTATGAAAATACTTTAAAGTAATATTAAATGTATTTGCATAAACAGCACTTTTAGATTCCAATATGAACCTTAGCTATTTTAGCATGTACAGTGTGTTTCAGAGAAGTGTCTTAGCTTCAGAATGGGACTGGGAGGAACAAAAAATATGAAACAAATTTTAAGTTGTCCTGAACTGCAAGTACTAATGATTAGATACATCCTGAAATTGACAGTGATATACCTAACACATGTTCATGTAAATGTGTATGTATGAACAGTTCCCAAGTTTGTTGCTGTTGTCTGATTAATCCTCAAGGCATTCTTTTGAGGAATGAACTATGTCTTAAATCCACCTGATAGGTAAAAAAAATAGAGCTCAGAGAAGTTAAGATAGCATGACTAGGGTCATACCCTCGAGTATTTGAACTGGAACTAGAGCTTTTTGTCATTTGATTCTTTGCTATTTCTTTTTCCTGACTGTGTAATAATTACAAAATAAAATATGAATATGCTTATAATATTCATATTTTTCACTGTCATGGAGTAATTATATAGTGAAAGCTAGGTGAATATCTTTTCCTCAAAAGATGGCGATTGACCTGGACAATAAAAACATTCAGTAGAAGTAATACTGAGGATTTATCGTGGGCTTTACTCCTAGCTCTCTGTCAGAATACTGTATTAAAATATAACCTGCTTTGTTGAACATGGAACTTGCTTTGCAGATTGCACCCTATACAACTTGTTTAATTAATGGAATCTACTGGGAACAAAATACCCCTCGTCTGCTAACGCGCCACGATGCTCAAAGTCTCCTGGCCCCGGTCAAGTCCTCAGTTGTTCCGGTTGAAGGCTGCCCCGAATTACCACACAAGTAATTTGACACAGTTATCGCTCCCTTCTTTAAACTCACTTCTGACTTCTATAACTCCATGTAGCATTCCAAAGCTACCTCCTCATCCCTCTCTGGTCTATTACTTTGTTTCACAAAATTCATAATCATTTATTTTCCTGTGTTTATAGTTTTTCTCTCTCCCACTAGAATTTAATCTCTTGAAAGATAGGGGTCTCTTTGTATGAAGAATATTATCTGGTTTAAAATAGTATTTAAGTAAATAGTTCTTAAATACCAAGTAAAGTAATTAATTAGTAGGTATTTCTGGAGTATCTTGTCTATCTGGGACTCTGCTAAGAGAAGAGTACAGGGTCTGTTTGCTGCTCTGAGGAGACCTGCTAACCTCAACATGGATTTGAGTAAAGAAAGATTTAGTACTTATAGCAAGTGAAGAGAGCACTAGGGATAATTCCCAAAAAGCAAGGGCCTTTTGTTTTTAAACTTGTTTAAAGTACTCAACGCATTTTCTTTTTATGAAGGTATGAACATTTAGAGATAATATAAAAACTCCTCCATATTATGTAAGCCTAACTCATCATGACATGAAGAGCTTGGATATTCCTGAGAGTGCTGAGTTCAAGGTTACATTTCTTCACGTACTGCATGCATGTTCGGAAAAAAAGGAACGGGAATCCCTCTTTGCAAACTTTAGCTCATTTAAAAAGTATGGGTCAGGATGTGTTGGTGATTTTGTCCTTGTGAGTTTCCCTGAAGGTTTCCTGGAAGACATGTTAATAATCATTTAAAGGTATACCAGCTTCCTCCCTCCGCCCCCATCAAGCAGTTATTGTCCCTAAAAGTATCTGATGAGGGGTTAACACTGGGCTCAGCAAAACCTTGTAAAGGAAGAGTGAGCATGAGAATTCCCTATGTAGGTCTGCTAAACATGGAACCAGCAAGGTTTAAGAGTGGGCATTCTAGCTCTAGTATACAGTGCTAATGTGGGCATGTGGTAACAGGAGATAGAACAGCAGAATTGTGACCGGTCTCTAAAAGCTTTCAAATGCCTATGACTTTTGTTCATAATTGAGAGGTTTCCAGGTGATCATTTGTAGAATTATATAGTACAGTCAACCTTTCATATCCATGGGGAGTTGTTTCTAGAATCCCAGGAATGCCAATATCTGAAGACGATGGTTTCTTATGTAAAGGAATGAACGTATGCACATGTGCCTGTATGTTTCACATCATCTCCATATAACTTTTTGATACCTAATACATGAAAATGAATATAATTAGTTGGGTCTGTTTATGTTGATCTGTGATCATAGCTACTTGGGAGGTTGAAGAAGGAGGATTGTAAGCTTAAGGCCAGTCTGGGTTAGAGTGACTTAAAGACCACTCTGGTTAACTTAGTGATGCCATCTCACAAGAAAAAGGAAAAAAGTGGCTGGAAATATATCTCAGCAGTCAAGAGGCCAAGGTTCTAGTTTCAATTCCTACTATTGTAGAAAAAAATGTTTACAATCAATTTAAATTGCATATATGTATAACATGGTTAAAATAAAACCCATTTGTCCAATTTATATATGCTAATAAAATTATTACTAAAATGCTGTGTTGTTTAGTAATAATGTGAAGGAAAAAAAAACATGCGTTGAATACTGATGCAACATAGTTTTAAATGCTTTTGAGTCTCCGTTGGGTCCAGGGATGTGGAACTCATGATGTGGAGAGCCAGCTAGCCAATTATCTAGAGTTGGTAGTTATTTACAGATGGTAGCTAAGCTGTCTTTATGCAGTCTGCTAGCAACTTCTTCTCTAGGGGAGGGATTTCCCCCTTTTGTTTTCTTTCTTTCCCCTTTTGTTTTCTTTCTTTCCCCTTTCTTTCTTTCTTTCTTTCTTTCTTTCTTTCTTTCTTTCTTTCTTTCTTTCTTTCTTTCTTTCTTTCTTTCTTTCTCTTTCTTTTCTTGATGCTGTTTTTTTTTGAGGCAGGGTCTTCTTGTTATGTATACCAGGTTGGTCTATATCTCACAGAGATCTACTTGCCTCTGCCATTCCAGTGCTGAGATTAAAGATGTGTGCCACCATGCCCAGCTTTGTGCTGTTAGTCTTGCTCTAACTTAGACACTTAGGATGCTGAAGAATTCTCTGTATCCCAGTACAATGTCCTGAAGACTGAATAAAGAATAAAGAACCTAAATGCTGGCATCCACATTGCAATCTATTCCAAGCATATTTCACTTTTATTTATTGTTAGTCTCTTCGAGGGCATCAGAATTCTACCCTCTCATTTGAGTTTTGATGTCATTTTCAGACTTGTGGCAATATGTGACATTTCAGCAGACACAGGAGGGTCTATAGATTTTATGACTGAATGTACTACGATAGAGCATCCCTTCTGCATGTACGATGCAGACCAGCATATTATTCATGATAGGTGAGTTTGCAAAGCTGCTACTTCTTAATCCTAAAACCTAGTTTAAAGTACTCAACATTTTACTTTTTTATGAAGGTATGAAAATTTGGTGATATATACTCAAACATACTAAAAAAATTAGTGGAAAAATCACACAGAATTTTAAACACTTGAATACATATACACTATATGTAAGTGGGAGATGGATTACTAAGTAAAGCAAAGGTTTTGTTTGAAAAGTTTTCCTATCTATATGCTCTTTTATGACTGTAAATGACAGTGAGGCAAATATAATGCAATAGACACTGGTAGAAATTAATGCTTTCAAGTCATACTTTGAACATGTGAATAACACATGTTGCTTCTCCTAGTGTTGAAGGCTCTGGGATTCTGATGTGTTCCATTGACAATTTGCCAGCACAGCTTCCAATTGAAGCTACAGAATACTTTGGAGACATGCTTTACCCTTACGTGGAAGAAATGGTAAGGAAGGTGGTAGCCTAAGCAGCAGCTCTGTGACCTTAAGTAGAATTATGGAGTGAGCTAATGAATGTTCTGGTCTTCTGTATCTAAGAAATCTGTTGTGAAATGAATTGCCAGCCCTACCTCTAGTGTGCTTGCAGGCTCATTTTATTCTATGTACCCTATTACTTGTCTCATGAGAACTGTGATCATATCACTGAGTTCATGCTTACAATTGGATTCATCATGTTATCTTATTTATTGAGTGTTCATAACATAGGAGGATAGGATGTGCTTTATCATCAATATTCTTGCTGTCTAGATCAATTTATATGGGGGCATTCTTACTGTACTATAATTAAAAGTTTTAAAAAATCAGAATATGCAAAATACTTTTGGATGTCAGCAGCTAGTGTTTTGTTCAGTGAAAACTTATACTGAGATCGTGTTTGTGTTCTGATGGACTGCTGGAGTCCTGTGTAATCTAAATTCCATTCTCTTTACAAAAGAAAGTTTTCCTTACTCCCGTGTTCCTCTTGGGCTGCAGCCTGCCTCTGGCAGAGATTCCAAGCATGACTAGTAGCTCTTGTTTGCAGCTTCATCCTCACTCCACAGTATTCCATTGTGTGACTATACCAAGATTTATTTACCTGTTCTGTTACTGATGAATATTTGGGGTATTGCTTGCTACTATGAATCTTTAACCCATCTTTTGGTATACACATGTTTATTTTTCCCTTGTTGGATATATGATTGCCGTACAAGTTCTGGTTCACAGATCATATTCAGTTTTGTGAAGCATTGCCAAGGAGTTTTCCAAAATGCTAAGATCTTTCCCATCAGCACTGTGTAGGAGTCCTAGCTGCTCCACATCCTCAGTAATATTTTGCATGATTAATTTTTTAGTTTTGTTATTTGTTTGTATTGTCATCTCATTGTGATTTTGATTATCGTTTTTCTGGTGGATAACAAGATTAGGAAATTTTGTGTATTTGTCTCTCTAAATCTGTTTTATTAATTAGTAAATTCTGTTTTTCCACAATTTCATACATGTGCACTATGTGTTCTGGTTGCACGCCCCCCATGCTCCCCTAGTTTCCTCTCACCTTTACCAACTCCCTCCTCCTTACAAATCTCTTTCACCTGTTTACTAGTTTTGGTTTTGTTTAGTGTCTGACAGGTTTAATCAGGGCTGTCTATGTGACCCTAAGTTTGGCACTAACCATCAGAGCCTGGTGGGCTCACCAGCAGGTATAGAACTGGGTTCCATGTTTCTCCCTCTCCCAGAATCTGTTGGTTGCCAATAGATCGGCACTAGCTGGTAGCACCCCATGAGTCCCTTCCCCCTCCATAGCTGATGGTTAGAAGGACCCAACTGCTGTGAACCCAGTGCCAGTACACACAGCGGCTATGAGTCCTTGGTTGGCATAGCTGTCGTGCTTAGCAGATGTATTTTGCAGCTGCTCCTTCGACCCGCTGGCTCTTACATTCTTTTCACCCCCTCTTAAGAGAAGCTTCCAGCCTTTTATTGGTAAGTATGACATTTACCATTAAGTTCTCATGTACTTTTTCATAGCAAAGACTTTTGAAATTATGGTAGCTGTTATATTTTTACGTGTGTTTTCTGTGTTCATCAAGTTTATATGACTTTTTCTTTGTTTTGTTAATCTGAGAATTATGACATTTGGTTTTCAAATCAAACCCATCTTCACATTCTTAGGATGAACTTGGCTATAATATATTAATCTTTTATTTATGACCAAATTCAGGTTGCTTATAACTATATTAACATCTGTTTATTTTACCATGTGGAGATATTAGGGTCATTTTCTATTTGGGGCTAGTGCTATTGATTCTACTATGAACATTTCCTGGTGTATTTCTGGAATATGCCTCTGTGTGTGTGTGTGTGTGTGTGTGTGTTCATATATACTCATTACCTATACTTTTGTTGCATTCACACATTGATTTGTCTTATTAAGAATTGCTACATCTATGTTCATGAATGAACTTAACCTAGTTCTTTCTTATCATGTCTTTATTAGATTTGGCTATCAATGTTATATTGGCTTCATAAAACAAGTGACAGTCTTTCTTACATCTTTCATGATATTGATATTACTTCTATGTTAAAAGTATTTACTGGCCTTATCCCAGCACTCGGGAGGCAGAGGCAGGTGAATCTCTGAGCTCAAGGTCAGCCTGGTCTACATAGTGAGTTCCAGGCCAGCTGGGACTGCAGGGAGACCCTGTCTCAAAAAGACAAAAAAAAAAAATGTATTTTCTGGCAAAACTGTTTGTATTGGGAGCATTTCCATTTGGTTTTATTTTGTTTACTCTTACTATGTTTCATAGAGTAATTTAAATTTTTTA